TTCCATTCTCCCCTCTCCTGTCACTGATTTCTGACCGGTTGTCGATCCTATCAGGGGTCCATAAAGCTGGGAGGACTCTGGCCCAGGAGAGGGGGGTAGGGGTTAGGCAAACAGGCCAGGGAGGCAGTTGGTTGAAATTTAACCACAATATTCTTGGTCTCTATTGTTTTGAGTGAGGCCCAATATTTCCACAGCAGGATTATAGGATCTGATTAACCATGTTAGACAACAATGCTGAGCTGGGATGGGCTTCCCCTTCTAGCTGCCAATATGAAAAAGTAAACAGAACACCTAGATTTCAGAAGGGGACTCCCAGCATCCCCCAAGCCCTACTCTCCAGCTCCAGCCCCACCACTCCTTGGGCCCCTAAGTGAGCGAAGGAAGAGTGTAGCATTGCATGCTCCTTTAACTACTGGCCCTTGGCCCAGCAGGACAAGTAATCCTGGCACAATCTTCCCAGGTGAGTCAATGGCAGTGTGTTCCCCACACCCTGGAGTTCTTTCAATGCCTCTTCCGGGTTCCCCTAGTAGGCTGGTCCAGATTGTCAGGAATCTATGAGAGTTGAGTGTGCAGAGGCCAGCACTCATTCAAAGGGGTCCAAGGGTGTGGAAGGTGGCAAAAGATCTGTTGGGCTCCACATAGAAAAACAGAGGGTGGGACTGACAAGCTCAGGAGGGCATTTACTAGAATACTCTGGTTCTACCTAATGGCACCCATTACCAGGATGGAAAAATGTGAGCTCAGAATGAGGCAGTGCATAAGGGACCACCATAAAGTCTCAAAGGGTAGAAAACCATTCTACCAAGTGTTCTGAGATGAAGGGGTAGGTGGGCTCCCAGCTTCTCCAATAGAGAGGGGTTCCCTGAAGCTCCTGTCCCTCACACAGACAAGCTAACCAGTACCCTCCTCGCTGGATGTTTCCCCTGAGGGGATGTTGGTTGGAGGCCCTGGCAAGGAGAACAAAGAAGGGACCTAGAGCCAGAGTATGCAGCAGGGGCTTCCTGTAAGTCAGAGCCACAAGTGAGCCCCAACACTTGGGCTCCTTTCTCCTGTGCATCCCTCAGTACAAGCATCTAAGGGCCTAAGATAATCTATTACACTTTGCTGGGCCACGCATTTATGAATGTTGGTAACATGGATTAGCAACCACATTCTTGAGCTCAGTTTGGTGGCTTTCTTGCAGGATGTTATTCCTTTTGAAAGTTTCTTCAGGAAAATTGGAACACAAATTTCTCCAGGGCAAAGCCTAGGAAAAACACATTTGAGGTTGTACACCACAAAGTGATATTGTCTAAGTTAGGGTTAAAAACTGACCCTCTTCTCATGGAGTATAATCTCATGAAAGGAAAAAAAAAGCAGAGTGGAAATACATCTATTAACAGAGGCTACGTTGAAAGGTAAGCAATGAGAGCAAGTAATCTCAGGAAGGATGTTATGAGGATTCAGGAGCACCCTGTACTCTCTAGAGAAGATCTTCCTAGTTTGGTAAGTAGGAGATAGTGAGAAACAAAAGAGATGGAAGGAAGAAACTGACGCTGGTGACAAAGTCAGGAATGGGAGCAAAGCCAGTACAAGAGGAGAAGCACAGCTCCTTACAACCTCCACAGGGGCTCCTGCAGGCCACCCCCCGCCCCACCCGTCCTCCCCCGCGCGCTCTCGCAATCCTGCGCTGGCACGCGGCCAGCTCCGGTCATACACCCCCCCCCCGAGTCCCAGCCTAGGGGAATGGTTTGGAAATGGGAGATTTAAAATAACAGCAAGAAAAGGAGTCCACCTTGCTCTGGGATAAAAACAAGCAGTAGGCCTGGGTATCAGGAGGGTGGCATCTCTCCTGTCCTCAGGGCCTGCTGTCCAGGGCTTGCAGTAGCCTTGGAAGGATCTTGGTCTGATCAAGTTAGACTTTGCCACTCCAGAGAACAAGAGCACAGCCCTCTGTCCTTACCACCAGCTGCTCTAGAAATTCAAGAGCCAGCATCCTGGGAGTCAGTGTATGCCTCGGAAACAGTCCTTGATCAGAGACACTGATGAGAGTGGAAAAGAATGGCTCTGGAGGGATTTTCCACGACCCCACTTGGGCTATGCTTTTAAGTGCTGCTGGGAAAGTCCCTGTGAAGCATAAGATAAGGAAGTGCTACCCAACTGGAGTGCAGAGGTGAGGATTTCTCTGAGCATGTAGCCATGGTCCTTGCTGGCTGCCTCATCTCAGCTGACCGCCAGGAGACCAGCCAGCAAGGCCAAATAGGCCTTGCAACCTAGGTGGCGCTATTTCTCTACTTTTTGGTCAAATCACTGCAGAGACTTCCTCGAGGTCCCAAGCCCTGCTCCTGGTTTGCTGGCTTGCTCGTGTAAACCACCTTATATTTTTTTTTCTAAAAATACTCCAAAGCAATTGAAAGAGTCCCTTCTCCCACCAGCCAGCCCTGGCCCCAGCCCCGGCCCCGGGGAGCGGGTGGGTAGGCGGGGAGGTGGGCCACTGCTTTATTAAACACAGGGAAAACTAATATTTACGGAATAAAATTTATGGAGCAGCCACGAGAATTCGACCCTTTTATGTGCATGCAGAGTGGGGGTTGGGCTAGGCTGGGGGCCTCCGGGAGGGGCCCAAGCCAGGAGGCAGGGCTGGAATACAGCCTGGCTCGCCAATTTGTCAAAGCAGGGATTTCCCTAGAGTTGCCCGGGGATGAATGATTCTCAACCACCACTCCTTGCTTTGGGGTGAAGGCTTCAGGGCAAGAACGCCTGAGGCAGGGCCTCTGGCAGCGCTCTTTCCCTAGGATGTGTTTGAGCAACACGCCAGAGTGAGCAACCTTGGGGATACAGGCTGCAAGGGACAGGAAGGTTACCAGTCATAGCCACACCGCACACCCCACTCCCAGCCCACACCCACACCGCCCAGAACTGAGGATTGACCCCAGGGCCTTCACACTGGGCTATGTCCCCAGCCCTTTTTGTATTTATTATTTTGAGACAGGACCTTAACTAAGTAACTAAGTTACTAAGTTGCCCAGGCTGGGCTTGAATTTGTGGTCCTCCCTCCTCAGCCTCCCAAAGAACTACAGGTTACAGGGGCACGCTACTACACCCAGTTTATTATTAACCTTTAGGAAAAGTCACATAATCTTAGGATAACATAAGTAAAGTTATACTCTTAGGATTTTATTTTAGAAGATCCACAGTCCCTGGTTCTCTGATTAAAAGTTTCTACTTGAGGGCAGAGGGGAAGCCCCATTTTCTCCCCGCTGGCTAGGGAAGCTTTTTTGCTTTCTATGTGGTCCCATGCTACATAGCCCCTGAAATCTGGCTAGCAAGATGCTGCCAGAAAGAAGCCAAAAGGACAAACTGAGCCAGCCAGTGGAGTCACAGTTTCCAGTTCTGGATGACAGCCACTCTTGCCAGGTGTACACAGGGCACTATGCTCTGCAGGTAAAGAAAGGTAAGCAGCAATAAGGACAGACCCCAGCAGCTTTCTCTGGCAGGAAAAGGGAAGGAAGTGAGTCCTGCAGCCACACAGGACTCCTGCTTGAAGAGCCCCCAGGGAAGCGAGCAGCTTCTGAAAGGAGCAGGGTCACAGGATGAATGTGGTAGCACCAGAGATTGCACGAGGACCCAACAGTTTGGCAACATGTGTAGTCATGCTGTGAAGAAGTCAGTTGTTTGGGTTCAGACTCTGGCTGTCACTTATGAGCTGAGTGACCTTTGGCAAGTCACTCAAAGGCTTGAACAACCAGTTTCCTAGTGGGGTAATGGGGTCTCCCTTAGACAACGCTATGAGGATTCAGTGTTAGGTGCTTATCGGGCAGGGCACCTGATCCACAGGAGCTGTTCATTCGCGAGAGTGGTTTAGTATCATTGCTGTGTTTCAGGTGCTGTTTTAATCCCTCCCCTTGATCCTCTTTCAGTACTGGGGATCAAATCCAGGGCCACATGCATGGTAGGCAAGCCTCTCCCACTGAGCTACACCCTCAGCCCTGTTTTTCTTAGGATTTTTGTTTTGTTTTTGCAGTACCAGGGATTGAACTCAGGACCCTGGGCTTGCCAAGCAAGCGCTTACTCTACTGAGCTATCTCCCTAGCCCCTTGTTAGGATTTTTGAGACAGGATCTCACCACATTGTCCAGGCTGCCCTTTTTGCCATCTTTCTTTTCAGCATCCTGAGTAGCTGGGATCAGCAGTATGCTACTGCACCCAGCTACTGCTTTTCTAACCATGAGTATTTTATTATTTATTGGATGGTTCTCTCCCCAAGGCTTAGCATCTGTTCTGAAACGCGAGTCCCAGCCAGGGAAGACACAGTGCTGCTGAGGCCATAAAAAGCACACTCAGGACACTGTCCCCTGCATTATGCTCCTCACCCCTTCTTCTATCTACTGATTGATTCCCTGTGAGTACCTGGATTCTACTTTCACTCCTGCTCCTCAAGATAAAGCTCCTGATGCTCTTACAGAGCAAGCTCTGGATGAGACCGAGGGACTGTGACCGTTCTGGAGTGCCCAAGAGGTGTCCAGCTCACATTCTGCCCATTTCACATGGCTTTTACTCTTTTTTCCTGCTAGGCATGAATATTTAGTTCTACAGCCAATTCCGTGCTCCAAGAACTCACAGGGTCATTTCCTGTTCCCTGTCACCCTAGGTCTTCTACTTTCTACATTATCTGAAGTAAAGTAGAAAATAAGAAAGTCAAATTTTCCTTTCTACCACCCATAGGAACCTACCTGGGCTCTAGTGCTCGAACTCTTTGCCATATTGATCCTATTGCGACCACCCTGTTGTCTATGCCTTGGAAGCAAACGGAAAACACACCCAAGTTTGACAAAAAAAGAGCAGCTGTCTGCTTTGTGCCACATGGAGGAGCATGGAGGTCTAAGTATCCAGAGCTGTGGCTCAGGCGCAGCAGAGAAGAACCTGGAGGTTTGGAGTACAGGCTCAGATTCCCCAGGGATGACAAAAAAACTCCGTGAGGGGAGGTGTGTAATGAGTTCCACAGATAAATAATCTCAAAAGCAGGGCATTGTAAGTGGTTTTATTTTGTGCCAACAAGAATAGTAGCTCTCTGGGGAGCATCCTGGACTGGCTGGAGACTCTAGAGAAAGGGAGACAAGGCTTTCTTAACATGTTGCACATTTTGCACACTGGCTGTATACACTGAAGTCCGAGGCAGACCCCTGGGGCTGAAGAACCTCCACCAAAAGAGAGGAAAGCCTGGGCTCCCAGACACAAGCTTCCACTTCGACAGGGAAGGCCAGACTGGCCAGAACAGAGCTTCGCTTGGGTAACAGTCCCATTCAGGTGGCCTGTCGACATGGACTTTGTCCTCTTGCCCCAACAGTCGCCTCTGACCATAAGTCTGCCTGAGAGGTACTCTGCCATGTAGCTCCTATCCCAGGGATGCTTGGAAACTATGCTGGTCCATGCCAGCAGCAGAGACCATGACAGGTTAGCTGAAGAGACCCCTTGGCTTCTTCCGCTTGGCCTTTGAGAGCTGAGGTCTCTGTGTAAGGCCTGCTATACCCTAGGAAAAAAGGAACTTGGGTTAATAGAGGCTTTGAAATGGAACCACTTACAGCAGGAAAGGAACTTCCTTCCTCTCATGGCTCTCAGCTAGGAGGAGGCCATGAACTATCTGCAGTAAGTGTTTTGAAATGTCAGGGAGTATGATATAAGACTCTGAAACAGGAGATGCACATACATGTGCCTTGTACCCTAAGGAACAACTTCACAGGCATTAATTGAAAGAGGGATGCGATGCAAAGGGACCCAAGGCTCAGCTCAGTATAAGAATGGCAGAGGTGAGACAGCAACCAAATGTATAAAACACCAGGACTCCCCAGTTTGGAAACTTATTCACAAATAGCCCTCAGTATTGCCGAGGTAGCATCAATTGAACAGCAACTGCAGGGACAACTGGCTGGGGGGTCAAGGCGCCGGCTCCTCCCCTGCTCAGCACGCCATCCGGGAAGCCACTATGACTCACAAGGGGATCTTTCTCAAGTGCTGAGAGGGATGCTTCTGAAGAGCCTGGCTGTTCTGGCTGGCTCAGAAGATGGCTATCAGTTCCTCCAGGGGAGGCACTGCTTGAGGTCTCAGGATCTCCTGCAGTGGGAAAGATCAAGAAAAGACTGTGAGAAATGCCTTCTTACCAGGAAGACATTAGCAATTATCAGGAACTCAGATACAGGCCAGAGTTTGATACTAAGAAATGGACAGAAGTGGCCACAAATCTAACTTTGAGCAGATTTTCAGAAAGCATTGTTTCTATGTAGTTACTTCAGGTCCATTCTCCCCAGATGCAAAGAGCCTCTCTCTCTGTGTTCCCTTACACCTCTCAGTAGGAAGAGGAGGCTTTCTGCCAGGTGTTTGTCCACCCTAGTCAAGGAAGCTAGACTCTGGGGCCCTGGGCCTGTGACAGATACCAGAACTTTCTGGAACAAGGGAAGAGTCATGTACCTTCACTGTCCAATTTGGTATCCACCAGCCACATGCAGCTATGGAGCCCCTGACATGTGAGTAGAGCACATGAGGAAATGGATTTCTAATTTTGGAAATACGTTATTTTTCATTATTTAAATTTAAATAGCCACATGTGGCTAGAGCTGCCATCTAGGACAGCACAAACACAGACTTTCATCCCAGGCAGACCAGGATGTCTGCAGTTCCTCACCAGCACCTGGATGCTTCTGTCCCACTTGGAGTTCCTGTCTGGTGACTGCCACATATAGACTCTGCAGATTCACAACAAAGGGCCTTCCATCGCTGACATCACAGGCTTCTGGTAGTTTCTATAGAAGAGAGGCAATACTGACATGGGTTATACTGCCTGGACAGAGAAAAGGGATCTGATATATCACTGGCAGAACTGGCATCAACCCTAAACATATTTACATAGAGTAGTTAACTCCACTGCTGAGCCCACAAGGACCACCATGCAGACCGCTTGGAAATCCTTGTAAAGGCAGCTCCACGTGTGGACCTCTACATCCCCTACCCCTGGGTCTCTTATCATGAATGCTCTACAGGTCTGTCAGCTTTCCCAAAGGGATGAGCTTTCAGAGGCCTGTTTTAGAAAGTTATTGTCCCTGAGCTGCACATATTACCATTTTAACTCATTTTACTCCTATACTTCCAAGAGAGGAGAAAGAAAGTTGACTAAGGTTCTGAGATCTTCCTGCCTACTATAATTCTGTTGTGCTTTATTATGATCAATGTATCCCATGGTGGGGTGAAATTTCCCCCTAAAGGGTGAAAGTTGGTTTCTGAAGGGAAGAAGAAGGAGG